TGTCCCATTGGGTTTTTCTATACAAAAGGTTTTAACGAGGGATGTTTTCATGGTTCCAAGCTTTACCATTAGGCATGGCAAAGCTTGAGGGGGAGTATTAAATTAAATAAATAAATTAGTTATTTATTCTAGCTTCTCTAGTAAGCCAAGTGTGTTTGGTTACTAGAATAAGAATACTCTATCTCTTTATAACTCTTTGGAACGTTATTTTTGAGATCTAAAGAAAAAGTTTTTCCTTCTTTACTCTTTTCTTTCATCCCTCTCTTGTTCTTCAATCTCAAAGCTTCACTTTCTTACAGAAAGAAGGTAAATATTAACTTGGTTTTTCTATCTTGATCATGCTAATTTTTTTTTGAAATCTTTTAATTTGAAATGTTAATCATGCTAATTTTGCTTCTCTTTCATTTTGAATCAGTCTTTATATCTCACATGGACCAAGTCGAAGGTAAAGTAATTTTATAAATATACTACTTCTCTCAATTTTTTCTTTTTTTTTTCTTTGTCAGTTTCATGATTCTTAAAAATTGAGACAACCACAAGAATGTAACAACAATTCATGTGATGTCTGTCTCACAGCTAGCATGGAACACTTGAAGCAAGAAGCTTTGCGAGCAATGGAACGGTTGATAATTGATGTACGAATCAGAATGGGATATCTACTCGAATTTGCGGAAAATACGGTGAGTTTGGCCCCCTTGATACATATCAGGGAGACAACTATAGATGGAGCTCACGCATGTGCAAACTCTATCCGAGCATTGGTGTTGAAGGCTGAAGCTATATCCTTACTAAATGAAATTTTTATAGAAGCGGGGTTTCTATTGTGGTTCATGGAGAACACCTTGACAATCGCACCGCTGAGCCGTATGAACGAGTCAACACTGCCCCGAGCTTCGGAAATTGCATCCGTCATCCAACAGATTCATCTCGGTGAGAATCTTGGGGATGGGATGGTGGATAATTACTAGTCTAGTCGAGTGATGATTAACAAAATCTAATCAAGAAAGATCATTATTATTAATGAATAAAATGTTTTTTTTTTTTTTTTGAAAAAAGGGCTAATGAATAAAATGTTGAAAGATATATTTTAAAGTTACTTACCAATAAGTTTATTTTGATATGTTTTGTTGTTTTATTAAAAACTTATACATGCTCTATTGCGAGACAAGTCTATTGGTTAATGAATATTGTTTTTTAACGAATGTTACATATTTGTTTCGAATGCAAACACACATACAACGCAAGCTGCATCGGGAATAAAAGAACGCAAGACGAGCTCTGGTGCTTGTGTTGTCATTTGGATCTATAACTTTTATCGGGAATAAAAGAACACAAACAAGCACGAGCCTCTTCTTCTGATTTTAGCAAATTGCTATTAGCAATCCACGTGTCCACCAAATACATTTTTTTCCTTCAAAATTCTTTAATGAACAAAATGATAGTTTAGTGGTAAAAGATTTGAAACACACTGTAAATCCGTGTTGATAATAAATGTTACCTGTGATAAGCACAGTATGACAACATCTTTGTTATCTGCCTACCATTTTTCTCCATGCAGTGCAACTGCATACATAATGCATGTAAAACACTTCCTGATATTATAGACTATGAATTTGAAGAGGTGAAACACTTTGTGTATCCAAAACCAATTCCACTACAAAACGATTACAACAATTTGGTTTCATATCTCTTTCAAATGAAGGGCAGAGCATAGGGTAACGCTATACCTCCATTCTATAACCAGCTCGGGAGACGCACATGGCGTGGTAATACGTACGTAGAGCACTTGTAACACTGAGTGCACGAGCCGTGTATTTGTTTGCATATCACACATATCTGAAACCCATCGTAACTTGCGTATTAGTTTTAGAAAGAAAAAAGAACTAAAAGGAAGGTTTGTGTCAACCAAATTCAACACACAATAAGTTAACACTTTTTGAAACACACCTTGAAAAAATTACTTGATGGAATACTAGCTCAAAATCCCAACAGCTGGTTCCATTTTTCATAGTACTGGATCCTAAAAGCTGTGCCGGTTATTGTGTCCCTTAAGACTTGCTTGAAGAATGTGTAAGTTTATTTTGTAGGATTATTTTCCATACAAAAGCTATGAATCCAATATTTACTGTATTTTACCTCTTCTTTTTTTTGGCTGGGTTTTACAAAAACAGTGTCTGGATCACAAATGGAATTTGCAAGTGAAAATTTTGTGGCAGGCAAACTCGAGCTTTTGGAGAAGATAGGCGAAAAGCATAAGGCAGCGATGATTGCATTTCATAAGATATTCATGGAGCGAAGAAAGCTTGCCATGGAGAAGAATAAGTATACTAATTACGTTTGGCAAACAAGCTCTCCATAACTAATGAATCTTGAGCAAACTTGATTCTCATTAGTGTTGTCTTTGCAAATGCTGAGCATCATGTTGGACTTTATGATAGGCTCTTAATGAATCTGGCTTTATTTTTAGTTTTTTTTTTTATTTTTATTTTTTTTTGTAACATAATGAATCTGGTTTTATGAAATAATGTTTGACTCATAAAAATACACTATAAGCAAATGTAAACTATTTTTTTTCTTTCTCCGTTTCAGAAACTCTTGAAAATCTGTTTGTTGTATTCTAGTAAATGTTCCTTTTCTATTATCGTTTAAATTTTGCATTCATCACTCTTTTCTGATTTTTTTTGCGTCACTCCTGAGTACCACCATGAATTCTTCTTTGAGTAGATTAGGAGAAATCAAGTAGCATGTCAAAGATGGCATTTCACCTTGAGTCTATGCCGGAGGTTCCATGTTTCTTGACTAGGAAGCTTCTAGTTATTCACACCACATGGGGTCTGATATATTCAGGACCATGTTAGGGAAGCTCAAATGACAGCTGAATTGCTAATCGATGATAGATTCTTATTTTGATGCTCTTCTTGACACTTGGAATTCCAAATTCCGTTACCTCGAGTCTTCACTCTATACTTTGGTATTCTTTATGGCTCCGTGTCTTGTTTCTTGAGATGAAGATTTATGGACAGGGATGTCTGGTGAACAACATCGCCTCTCCAAAGTTGCTAACCCTACAAATCACGTTTCCATTGTGGGTAACTTCGTGGGAGCACTTCTTGGGGCATTAATGTGGTTGGAACTTGGACGAAGGACCAATGTTCTTCTTTGCCGTAGGGATTACTTAGGTGATGATTGTTTTCCTAGTTTTTAGTTTTTAGTTTTTGGATTTTGGTTTTTAGTTTTTACTTTTTGATTTTTGGATTTTAGATTTTGGTTTTTGGATTTTGATTTTGCAGTAGATTTTAGTTTTTCAAGAAACATAAATGAAAATCTTATTAAAAGTAAAATGTTTAGTTTGGAAATAATAAATATAAAAATACCATTACCAAAACACAAAAGCTAATTTGAAAATAAAAAAAAACCCAAAATAATATAATTCTATGTGTAAACATAATTTATATATATATATATACTTTATATTATTAACTTGTACATTTAATATGTCTTGTTATCCAATAAAACTTTAAGTAAAATGTGTAGAAATAATTTTTTAATAAAAAATTCCATAACTATAATCTATATATATTCATTAATGGTTAACTCCAGAAAACTAATTCTATGTGTACAATTTAAATATATATGCATTACTTTTTTGTAAATTTTTAGAATTAAATAACTGTAGATAAATAATATATATAAATTTAAATAAAAATTAACAACTATTTCTAAAACTGTGGAAAATATAAGTCTACACATATGGTATATTACATAATAATAGTCATATTTTTGAATAAACTATAAATTATTTATATTGTAAAACATTAGCGAAAATGAACTTTACTAAAACACTTTATATAAAATAATAAATATTTTTGAAAAAATTAAAAATAATTAAAGGGTAACAAAATTATTATACTTATAAATAAAAACTTTAATTAGTTTGCTATAATATCTATTAAAACATTAATAAATTAAATTATCTTAATAAACTTTAGTTGCTTCAATAAGTAGTGAAGATATAACTAACTCTAATTGTTGACAAAAAAAATAATAATAGTAACTAACTCCAATTGCTTAGAAAATATTAATGTTCTTTTACTTTGTTTTGTGTGTTGCTATAGAGTGATAAGTGTAGGTTTTATATACTATATCATTTAAATTTACTAATACTTTTAAAAAATAAAAAAAAACACTTATTGGTTTTACTCGTAGAAAAATCTAAGAAAAATCAAGAAAAAGGAATTTTTGGTTTTTATATAGAAAAGAGTAAAAAGAATCAGAAACTAGTTTCCCTAAAAAATAGGAAAACTACTTTACCAAAATCTTGATTGGCTATAGGATTTTGGAGAATCAAAAACCAAAAACCAAAAACCAAGTTTAAAAACTCCAAAATGTTTTTTTTTTTTTTTTAACTCCAAAATGGTTAAATAGTTTAAAATTTGGTTTCCCTAAAAAGTAGGCAATCTACTTTGATTAAATCTTGATTGGGTGAAAACTAGATTTGGAAAAACTAAACTAAAAAAAATCTGAAAACAATCAACCTCTTAGTCTTAGTTGGGCCTTAAATTTTGAAGCTATATTGCATACGGATTATCTACAAATATCGCATAAATTAAAGAATTATTCACATCTAATTCCACCAAGACATCAAATTATATTAACCCACTCCACTAACCGCAATGCTTCATGCTACAAACACGGAATATTATAGAAATCAAAATATCAGCTTCCAAGAAAAAACGGCAGACTAATAACTCGGGATGCAACACAAGTAACCACTACACAATCACTTCGAGCATGGACCATTCTATAGTATTTTGATATTTTCTAAGAACCACCACAACCTTTTTTTCTTCAAATCTAGCTAACGACCGAGGGCTTTAACAATTGTTAAATATCCGAACATGCAAAAGCCTGAATACGCATGTAAAGTAGTATATAACAATTACAACTACACGTGTCAGTGATTCGTCTAACTACAAATCTATGTTCAAAAGTCTCCATAACTTAGCAAAATAATATTTTTATTTTCGGGATGGAGAGGTCGTGCACAAGAGAGCATGGTTAATGCCAGGTTCATTCATTATTAAATTAGATTTATAAAAAAAATATTGAGAATGGAGATAGAACTTACTTATAGACTGAGTGTAGAGGTATCTTCGATCATCAGTCTTCAGTTTTGTCTTTAATGAATCAGGAATCACGATTATTGTTGGCATCTACACAATAATGGCATTAATTACGATTCATTAATGTTAGTACAATGTTAATGCGATTCATTAATGGCCTTCAGACTTCAGTTGGCTCCATTTGACAGCTCGATTAGGGGATAACATGTTTTCAAATTCATTTATTGCTTACGTTTCGACTTCGTTTAACAAAATCGATTAAAAGTTTCGACATCAAAATAATTTGAACAAGTTGTTTCATTGGCTTTGTTGCATGTTTTATTTATGTCACAGAAAAGGCCATTTTCTCCATCGATTATCCCTATTTGTGGGCATTCCAGCCAAAACAAACATATATTAGCGTTATCAGTTATCAATGTAGTACCACTCAAAACATATTCAAAATTTTGACTATCAGATTATTAGGAATACGTTGTCAAATACAATTACTTATAGGAATATCCGGCAAAAATATTTTTGGTTCGCTGTAACAATTTGGAGAAAATCTCGACAACTAATAAGATAAATATTTAAACTAAAAGTACACTTTCACAAATAAGACCAACATTTCTAGCTTGTGAACTAAGACTGTCCACGAGAATGACTTAAGTAGTACTCACGAGTTGCGACCATGTAGCTTCTGATTTAAGACATACATTAACTTGGGAAAACTCAAAACTCACACGTTATGGTAATTTTAAATGTTATCTTAAACTTGATTATGAGAAATAATTGCTCAAGCGGTTGCCTTCTCTAGTCTTAACATGTCCATCAAAATTCGAGCTTATAAACTCTTAATTTAAAGCTATGCACCATGACCAACGTACATCAAAGAAATAGAATATGATATATTTCTAATGGTGATGAAGCTTTCAACGTTTTGTTACTTTGAAGGGTTGCCCTTCTTTTTAGAATGGATATTTGTCCTTAGTTTTAGTTTAGCCAAGTCTCTTTCAGTTTTCTAAATTTCAGTCACGCACACTAGCCAGTATTACGTACGCATATGCAATTACTTTGTAAATAACTATATAATAACCAATTATAATAAGATAAGGTTTATATATTGTACATAAGTATCTAAATGGAAGGATAAAAAATATATGTGGATTGGTCAGTAGTACTTGGCTCAATGGAGGACAGTGACCAAGAACACTGCTCTATACCTCGGGGTGTGTCTTTGTCAATCCAAAGATTCCTCATGTCGTCTCTCTTCCCACTTTGGATCTGTCATAATGTAATCGTCCTTCGTTTCTCTCACGCACCCTCACGACGCTCTACCAAACTGATACTAAACTATACAAGGACCATATTAACATGTGGAATAACCCCTAAAATCACGTTTTAATGCATGGACTAATACAGTTACATTTAGCTGTTGTACGAAATTCAATAAATGAAAAAGATTGCAATGCTGTAGAGGTTCCAATGGAATGAGAAACACAAATACGGAAAATTAAGTTATTAGCGGGAGCTAGTGTGCACAAATAAATGGTAAAAACTTTCTGAAAAGAGAACTTGAAAATAATTTATAAATGGCACCAAATTCTAGGTTATCTGCAACGTTAGTCCTCACTGTAAATTAATGAGAAGATCTTACTAAATAATTTGTTACCGTTTTCCTCAAAATATTTTGAATATAGAGGAAGTAAAATATATGCAAACAGAAACAAATATTTAGCCAAATATCTATTCAAATACCTTTGTTTGCTGCTAAATATTCAAACTCACTTTAGGAAAACACAGCACGTGACAGCTTGTCAATAACATTTTATTTAGAAGTCTTTACTTTTTTTTTTCTTGGTCATCATTTCTAATTTTTAAATTTTGTTTTTGTTCAAATATCTCTAATTTTTAATTATTATGGTTAAATCCTGGAAAAACCCCTATAAAATAGGATCAGAGTGAGTGAATTCTGAATCTTCCACTTTAAACTCACCAACTCTTATTTATATTTCTGCATTCTCTCTCTCCTAAATCTTTCTTTTTTTTTTTGTCAACCTCTCTCCTAAATCTTTCTCATTCACTAAAACTCCTCAAACTTTTCACAAAACCAGAATCTCTGTTTTTCCTCCAAACAGAATCTTGAAAAAGCAAGAAAATATTAGTTAGGTGAGAGTGATGATCATGCATGAATACATGGACTTCAGACCAGTCAAGTACACAGAGCACAAGAAAGTGATCAAGAAGTACACTAAAAAGTTGCCAGCGGAGAACAAGAACAAGATCAGTTCTGGTCGTGACTCGGCCATGTTGGTTCGGGTTTGTGTGACGGATGGTGACGCCACTGATTCATCAAGCGACGACGAGGAGGAGTCTTTCTTCCCTAGAAGACGTGTCAAGAGACTGATCAACGAGATCAGAGTTGAACCGAGCGAAGTCTCCGCTCCAAAGAAAAGCCTCGCCGTTGCTTCTCCGCTTCAAGAGGTATCTGTTTCCTCCGCCGACCAAAACAAGAGGAAGTTCCGCGGCGTGAGACGTCGGCCGTGGGGAAAATACGCGGCGGAGATTCGTGATCCAGTGCAACGCCGGAGAATCTGGCTCGGTACTTTCTCGACGGCCGAGGAAGCTGCTGTTGTCTATGACAACGCAGCAATCAGGCTTCGTGGTCCTGATGCTCTTACCAACTTCACCGTACCGGAACCAGAACCGGACCGGGAGAGCAACGTATCGGTTTTGTCGACATCAGAATCAGTGGAAGACTCTCCTCATCATCTAGCATCTCCTACATCAGTTCTAAACTACCATATATCCGAGAAAGTTGATGAACCGGTCAAACCGGTTAAGCAAGAGTTTATTGAACCGGAACCAACAAGTTGGCGAATAAGTGAAGTTAATGACTCATTTCCATTGGACTTTTCATTTCTGGACAACTATTTCAGCGAAACATTGCAAGACATTTCCATCTTTGATGATCAGTCTATGTCTCCTATTCAATCATCAGAGAATACTTTCTTTGATGATCTTGTGCTATTGGATAACAACTACATAGGAGGAGAGGACTACTCTTCTAAAATCAAAGAGATTGGTTTGGTATTCAATGATCTTGATGATTCTTTGATATCAGATTTTTTAGTTATGTGATGGTTGCAAATATTTTGCATATGTGAGTCAAATTTTAGTCCAGAACTTTTGAATGTCCATAAGTTTTCCATTTTTTTTTTTGGGGTAATGTTTAATGATTTTGTTGAGAATCTTTTTGGTATTGTGTTGTCAGTTTGTAAGACAGTTTTGGGAGAAATATTAACAAATGAATAGCTGATTAGTTAATTGTTGTCTTGTTAATTTCAAGATGTCTGAAATTTTGTTATTTGTTTTTATGTGATCAATTATAAAATAATAGCAAAATTAAAATTCTCTTTGGCGATGCCTCTCCACGGTGTGGCGCGGATTATGGTAATGACCGGTTGAGCAAGTGATTTTGGGGTCAGTCTCAGTCGACAGTGTTGGTGTTTGTTTCCTTTTCTACATTATAAAATGTTTTTGTGTTCTGAAACTGTCCTTTTCAAAATGGAAACAAATCAAAATGTATAAGGTATTGGAAACTATCGTTTCCAAAATGAAACTTCTAAGACTACAATTTTGACTAACATATTTGTTTACTAAATAGGAGTTTCAGCGTTAACTTGACTGATTTAATCATTAGATTTTGAACAATCCACCACTTTCTGCTTATATTATTCTTTATAAACTTTTCACTAATGGAATGAGAAGAATGGTTTTGACCAAAAAAAAAAAAAAGGAATGAGAAGAATGGTTTCCAATTGTAGATATATATTAAATACCAATTATTTTCCCGGATCTTACAAATTTCGGTTTTGTTCATTGATTAAAATTTTTTTGAACATTTGAAAAGTTTGACTCAGATTCTATTAAAATTTTCAAATTTTGGCTGCTAAAAATAATAAATGGGATACTTTCCATGTTTACAAGACCGCATAATGAACGGTATAATTTAATTTTCAGTTATGTCCGCATAATCAAATATTGGTGGACCAATGGAAATTAAATTAAGACTAGATCTCAACCCGCGCAACCGCGCGGGTATTTGTTTTCATTTATTTTTATATAAATATTTTGTTTTTACTTCTAAATTGGTATATATTATCTAAGGTGTGCATATCGAAAATGATATATTCTATAAGGTGTGTATATCGAATATTGTGATTAATTATTGTTAGAAAATAATATTTTTGTCATTTTTAAAAATAAACTATAATTTTTAAATTTAACATCAAAAATATATAAATAATTAACTTAAAAATATTACAATATTAAATTATATAAGTTTAATTTAAACATGTATTTTATTATACTATTTATAAATTCAATGGATCATCTAATTTTTATTAGCCCAATAAAAAATTATAGTAAGCCCAATAAATGCTATTAGTAAATCTAATGAATGTTATTAATGATTAAATATATAATGTGACAAACTCTAGTAGATAGTTCATTTTATAAAAAATCACACATGGATGAGAAGTTATGACTTCTCTTTTAATATAATAGATGATTTGCGTTTACATATTATACAAATGATTCATGTATTAAAATATTAAATTAAATTTCTTATTTTTCACGTGCATTACTAACAACTAAAATCATAACAAATGCCGAAGAAAAGATGGGAGAAAGCAAAAGGGACAAATAATTATGTCCGAATCCATCAAAAGAAACTATTTACAAAGGTAACGATATGAATGAGTATGAAACGTTGCACTAGTTTAAGAAATAATATCTCAAGTAGGCGCCTATCCACATGTTAATTTGTAGATGTACACATCATTATCATTGTTTGAACTCTCACTTGTACAACATATGAAATGTTACTATTTTGATTGAAATCATATAATACAATTCTAGATCACAAATTATTAAAACACAACACCAATCCTTTTCTTTTGGAGAATAGGTGATAATTCCACGGACGCTATGACAATAGCCACTTGAAAAGAAAAATTCACAAACGTGCAGGTCGACTAAGCCACATTTTTTGGTTAATTGTGATAGATATTGCAAGTAAATTGGCTCAAAACTTCTTAAAAGGAGACAACATATATACGTGAATAAGGCTGGGCATTTTATTCGTTAAATTTGATTCGATTCGTGATTCGTCTCAATTCGATTCGAAAATTTCGGATATCCGTAAACTTTCGAATCAAAGCAAATACTAAAAATCAATATCCGTTAAAATCGAAGCAAATCACAAATATTAAAATTTTGGGAAGCGGATATCCAATCCGATCCGGAAATATATAAATATATGTATATTTTAATTATATTTAAAATTTTAAATGTATAAAATTATTATTATAGCTTATGATTTGACTAATTAGATTCACATTATTACTTATATAAAATTATTAGATAAAAAGAAGAGAAAAATTTATAAAAAAATCTTAATTTTTGTGTTATTATAGTTGTTAACTTAAACATATAAAATTATAAAATATGTAAAAGTCTTTATTTTTTATTTTATATATCATGTAAAAAAAATTTACAAGATAAATTTATATAAGATTATTTGTAACGGAAGAGATATTTGTAAGTATTCGTAAATATCCGCAAATATCTGTTTATTTTCCGGATATCCGTTTATCCGGATATCCGTATTTTTTCGAAGCAAAGCAAATACCAAAATTAGATATCCGTAACATACGAAACAAATCACAAATACCTTCAAAAACCCGGATATCCGATCCGTGCCCACCCACGTAGATGTGTTTAGAGCGAGTTGAAGTAACAAAGACTTTGTTGAGTAGTTGCAAGAGTTGACTAGGTGTTTCTCTTCCATTGAAAATATTCATTCTTCATTCTTGGCCACATAAAAAGGTTTGATATTATAAAGCCTAGTTTTTCTTTAATTTACATACTCTACATACGACGCCACAAATGAAAACGTATTCACTACGGTATGGTGGTTGCAAATATCTATCGTGCCCTCAGTGGTATGCAGCAGTTTTGCTACATAAAAATTCAAACTAAGAACATCATGACTAATCAGTAATCAACAAAAAGATGTTATTGATTGAGATGTGTTACTATTCTTTTAACACTTTGTATCGACTATCTCGTAACTCTCACGTTCTATGCATATATCAAAGAAAGAAATGGAACTCGCCTATTTGTTTTCTTAACGTTTGCCGGTTGGTAACTGATAAATAGCACCGGTAATGGAAAAATTGAAGAAAAATATTAGAAAATACAAAATAGGTCAATATCGGAGAAGAAAAATCAAGAGAAAATAGTTTTTTTAGACCAAAATCATTAGGAAGTTGTCCCTTTAATCTAATCCCATTTAGTTATTGTCCCATTAGGTTAAGTTTTTTCTAAATGGCAATAATACCCTTAGAACAATTTAATAATTCGTAATTATAATTAGAAAATAATAATAAAATTATTATTTTTGATTAAAAATTTGTATTAGAAATTAAAA